AAAGTCAATAAAATTAAAAAAGTGAAAAAGCAATTGTCTTTTTAAAAACATAAATATAATTTTTAAAAAACACAGTTATACTGACTTTGAAAAATAGAGAAAAACATCCCCTGGTAGAGAGACTGACATTAAAAAGGTATTACTTCACCATGCCCCTATGTACAATGTCAGCTGCTGAGATCTGTGACCTGAAACACACAGCTACAGCTAATGGATATAATCATGACAGGCAGGACTGAACATATAGGAGAGTTCCCTTGTTAGAAAGTCAATATGTATTGACTCAAGTTAACTTTCCCGAATTATACAGCCCAAATCTAGCTTGCTTTCATTCTCATGATAGATCAACATATGCTGGGAAATTACAGAATCACTGATCCTGTCACAGTCAGGTCCTATTTCATAATGGTGACTCCAGGAGCCGTTTGCCTACCTACTATATATGCAATAAACTATTCCTCCTCTTCTGGTCTGAAGGTGGAAGCCATGCTCCACATACAAATCCTTTCCCTGTTCCTGAAATGGACAATTGACTACATGTCTCAAATTTTTAATTTTAGAGGTCAGAGGTCATTGTGTTCTTTTTTTTATTTTTATTTTTTCGAGACAGGGTTTCTCTGTGGCTTTGGAGCCTGTCCTGGAACTAGCTCTGTAGACCAGGTTGGTCTCGAACTCACAGAGATCCGCCTGCCTTTGCCTCCCGATTGTTCTTTAATCTAAGAATTTAGTTTAATTACAAGGACAACACCTTGGGGAGCAATGGTGTGGGATCAGGGCTAACTAACCCAACATAAAAATGTTTTTCTCAGAAACATTTTTCTACAGTGCTGGAGGTACTGCTATTCTATAATTAATATGTCTTCCCAGTGATAAATCATTCACACACTTAAAGTTTAATAGACATAAATTCCTTTAATAAGAGTATGCATTCATGGTGGTTAATGCTAAAAGAGGAGACAACCTGGTCCAGATTTTGCACTCCACATATGCTGTCATCCTTAAGTCTTTTTTTAGGTTCAGGCCTGAGGTTATACATTGAACAGTGTAAATAGGGACAGGAGAATGCAGGTCTAGCCACTTAGGCAGATGGAGATTTACAGAACAAAACTACCTTTTAGATTATGCATTGTGATCAAAATAAAATATATCATAATGTATGACTTAGAAGATAAATAGATCTTAATATACAATCTAAAAGATACATTTAAGATGTATTGATGCTACAATCCTCACACATACAAAGGACATAGAACACAAATTAAAACAATGTTATGGGAAAGTCACCTATCCACACTGTGATTGTTCTTAAGTCAACAGCTATTCTGAGCCATTCTAACCTCAGAATAAGCCTTCTTTTGCCTCCAAGCAAGCTGGCTCAGAGAAAGACCACAGATGCTTCTTTGATGGACAGCCCAGACTGATGTTTATTTCAAGTCTGTGACATTACTGTACAGAATCTCATTTTTTAAGTTTTATTTAATGTATATGCGTGTTTACCCACAGGTGTCTGTGCAGTGCCTGCAGAGGCCAGATGAGTGAATCAGATCCCTGGAACTGGAGTTAGAGGAGATGGTTAGCAACCATGGTTTCTGGCAATGTAACCTGTGCCCTCTGCAACAACACTTAATTGCTAAGCTATCTCACAAGCTGCATTTTTATTTAAAATTTATCCCCCAAATTTTCCTTTCTAATTCCTTCCTTAAGTCTGTGTGAATAAGGACGTGCAAATATATTAATAAAACCTGCTGGGTCCATTTCTGTTGGTTTTGTGTTATGGTTTCAGAATTGAACATGTTTCAGATACACAAATAGAGATCTCATTTCTGCCTGAGGCTAATTCACCCAATTGTAGGAGAATTTTAATCTTTATTGAGCAACACGAGTCTGACTCATAAGTGACCTAGGCTGACTTGGACAGAAAACATTACCAAGAATAAAAAAACTTAGAATAGCAAATACCTCAGCTAACATTTGTTGATGCCACAGCTCTGAAGTTCTAGGGCTGCAAGAATGACTATGGGCACTCTCCTGAGCAAATCACAGGCTCCCTAGGTACAATGGGCCTCCCACCATACCCTACTGACAATTCTCATTTTGGATGACTTTGAAATCCTGAAATTCCTGCCTCCACTTTCTAAGTACCATGGTTACACATCTGTGCCACCGTGCTTGGCTTAGTTGGCTTGAACTCCATTTAATCATTCGTTAGAATGATGGGATGAGTAAGATGGGCAGTTACACTTAATTATATTAAAACTCCATTGATCTCCATGAGCCTGGGTTTCACCCATCTGTAGAATAAAGAGAGTACTGTGCTCTAGTCTCTTGATGAATTATAATACAAAGATAAAGAAAAACAATATTGCTCATAGTTGGAAGACAGTGGACCTTAAGACAGGAAGGCTGCATTTGATGGGAGTCTTCTGTTACTTAGATCAACCAATCACACCTTATTGCTATTAATGACGCGTTCATGGGACTGAATAGAAGGTTCAGCACCTAAAACACTGGCTACTCACTTGCAGGGCCTGACTTTTGATTCCCAGCACCAAAATACAGCTTACAATTGTCAGTAACTCCAGTCACAGGGGATTAGACTGCATCTTCTGGTCACTACTGGTTCCAGGCATGTCATTGGTATACTCACTGGCAAAACTTATACACTTAAATTTTATTTTTTTCTAAGGTAATAGACACACAAAGAAAACCCTTTTTAAGAATATGTAATCATAGCCGGGCGATGGTGGCGCACGCCTTTAATCCCAGCACTCGGGAGGCAGAGGCAGGCGGATCTCTGTGAGTTCGAGACCAGCCTGGTCTACAGAGCTAGTTCCAGGACAGGCTCCAAAAGCCACAGAGAAACCCTGTCTCGAAAAACCAAAAAAAAAAAAAAAAAAAAAAGAATATGTAATCATATACATAGCTGTCTTTCCACCATTTGCATATCTCAAAGGCCAGCTACTATTCCTTTTGTCTCCTATCACTAGAGGGTGAGAAAAGTCCCCTCTTGATGGTTGTCAAAGAATTTAATGGATTTCTTTACCTCTCCATATTGCTTCTCAGTTTCATTGTTAACACAGTTCTCTTGATGGAAGATAACAAAAGCTTTTGTTGAAACCATTCAGAGTCCAGCCAGATTATATTAGGAAAAGTTCCAAAATTTGAGATAATATTGTATTTTTGGAATTTTTGACACAGGTTATGTCCAAAGAGCCATAGCTGCAATGGAATTTACTATGGGCACCAAGATGGCCACAGACTCAGAGATCGGCCCAACACAATTCTGCAAGTGCTGGGATTATAGCCATGTACCTCTAAATCCAGTTGAGGTATATGTTTTTTTTTAAAGATTTATTTATTATGTATACAACATTCTGCCTCGATGTATGTCCACATGCCAGAAGAGGGCGCCAGATCTCATTACAGATGGTTGTGAGCCACCATGTGGTTGCTGGGAATTGAACTCAGAATCTCTTGGAAGAGAAGCCAGTGCTCTTAACCTCTGAGCCATCTCTCCAGCCCTCGAGGTATATGATTTTAAATGACCTATCATTGAATCAGAGAATGAAAGGATAAAGTATAATTTAAAAGGGACCATCATTGTTATGATGAACAGTAATATTTCTTGAAATTCTATAGTTGAAATGTGCAACCATTTAATATGTGCTCAATAACTGGGTTATTTTCTTTGCTTTATTAACTTTGTCCATGTAAAAATGTTTGACCTGTGTTTGTGTGTATACACCTGTGCCATGATGTGTATGTAGCACTGAGAAGACAACTTACAGGTGTCTATTATTTTCTTCCCTCATGTGAGTTTTGCTAATGAAACTTAGGGATTCATTTGACTACAATTGACCTCAATTGCACTTATTCAGGATTAAAAATTATTTATGTATGTAGGAATATGAACATACCACTGCCCAAGTTTAGAAATAAACAAACAAAAAAAAACCCTGTAGGAGCAATATGGATCACACAGAGATAGAACACAGGTCATCAGGCTTATCAGCAACCAATTTTAATTAATGAGGCAATTCATTGGCATTCAATTATGGTTTTGAGAAAGTGTTATAAACAAATGCTTAGTTCCCAGGATAAACAAATTAAAAAGATGTATGATCATATTAATATTATCCTATGCAAAGAGTACTTATTCTTCAAATTATACCGTGTTCCTCTATCCTTGTATGAAATTAAGTTTACAATCAGAAAAGAATAGTTTACTATTATAATTTTCCTAATAATTTTATTTGATCTCTGATCTTGAACAATGCAAAGATTGGCTGGATTTCACGCTTAGGGATTGGTAGATCTCAAGCTTAGGGATTAGTTGGTTTTGTGTTCAGTTGGTCAAGGGTAGAGTGTGTTTCATTGGCTCATGCTTCAGGGCCAAAGTGTGTTCTTTCACTAGCCCCTTAAAACCCTTTGAGTCTGGTTTCAGGGTCAGGTGTGTTTCTTTCATTGGCTCTGGATTCAGGATCAAAGTGTGTTTCCTTGTCTTGGTTTTAGAGTCAGGATGTGTTTCTTCAGCTCCAGTTTCAGAGTCAAAATTATATATTTCAATGGTCAGGATGTGTTTCTTTAGCTGGACCATTTACCCTACACATAGGGCTTGATAAATTCATAAATTCATTTTATCATGAATTTGTAAGTACAAACAGTATAAAAATGACATCATAATGCTTGAAAAGATTGTTAACACTGTCAAATTTATTTCTACAGAAGAAATAGTCTTGTGTTGTAGGCGGAGGATTTTTGTTCATTCCTGGCTGCCCAGACCCAAAATAATCACACAGAGACACTTAAATAATCACAATTAAAACACTGCTTGGTCTATTAGCTCAGGATTCTTACGAACTAACTCTGATATCTTAAATTAACCAATTTCTATTATTTTGTATTTTACCACAAGACTTGTGATTTACCAGTAAGGTTCCAGGGCATCTGTCTCCTTCAGCAGATACATGGAGTCTGGCTCCACTTTCTTTTCTCCTCTACCTATGCTTGGAATTCCTGCCTTGCTCTATTCTGCTGTGCCATAGACCCAAAGCAGCTTCTTTATTAAAGAATGGTAACAAAATACATTCACAGCATACAGAGGGAAATCCCAAATCGTTATGTAGCTGATTGTAAGTGTTTTGGCTAAAGATCTTACCAAATACTTGATAATAAGTATTTTTTTCAGGTAGTCAATCTCTATTGTAATATACAAAGATTTTAACATATTGTTGTACACAAAAGTTTTACTCCTATATAAAGTACAAAATTTTAACACACTGAATACATTCATAGGGTTTCTCTGCAGTATGAATTTTTTCTCATGGTTTAGATTATTCATTCATGCAAATGCTTTACCAGACTGATTACATTCAGAGTATATCTCCAGTGTGTGATCTTTTATGCATTTGAAGAGTCCTGTGAAGTGCAAAGGCTTTACCACACTCATTACATTCATAGGATTTCTCTCCAGCATGTGTTCATGTCTTTGAAGATGACTATGATAAACAAAGCCTTTAGCACACTAATTACATACGTAAAGTTTCTCTCCAATATGGGTTCTTTTGTTTTAGAGATTACTGTGACATGCAAAGGCTTTTCCACATTGATTTTATTCATAGGGTTTCTCTCCAGTATGTGTTCTTTCATGTGTTTGGAGACTACTGTGACATACAAAGGCTTTACCACACTGATTACATACAAAGGGCTTCTCTCCAGTATGGGTTCTTTTATGTCTTCGGAGATTACTGCGCCATGCAAAGGCTTTATCACATTGAGTACATTCATAGGGCTTCTCTCCAGTATGGATTCTTTCATGACGTTGTAGATGACTGAGATGTGCAAAGGCTTTACCACACTGATTACATTTATAGGGTTTCTCTCCAGTATGGATTCTTTCATGACTTTGAAGATGACCGTGCTGTGAAAAGGCTTTACCACATTGATTACATTCAAAAGGTTTCTCTCCAGTATGGCTTCTTTCATGATTTTGAAGATAACTGGGATATGAAAAGACTTTACCACACTGAATACATACATAGGATTTCTCTCCAGTATGGGTTCTTTTATGTGCTTGGAGACTACTGTGACATATAAAGGCTTTACCACACTGATTACATTCATAGGGTTTCTCTCCAGTATGGGTTCTTTTATGTGTTTGGAGACTACTGTGACATACAAAGGTTTTACCACACTGATTACATTCATAGGGTTTCTTCCCAGTGTGTCTTCTTTCATGACATTGAAGATGACTGTGCTGTGCAAAGGCTTTACCACACTGATGACATTCATAGGGCTTCTCACCAGTATGTGATCTTTTATGTATTTGAAGAGTACTGGGAAGTGCAAAGGCTTTACCACAGTGATTACATTCATAGGGTTTCTCTCCAGTATGTATTCTTTTATGTCTTTGTAGATTACTGTGATATGCAAAGGCTTTACCACATTGATTACATTCATAGGGCTTCTCTCCAGTATGGCTTCTTTCATGACTTTGAAGATGACTGTGCTGCAGAAAGGCTTTACCACACTGATGACATTCATAGGGTTTCTCTCCATTGTATGTTCTTTTATGCATTTGAAGATGACTGTGATGTGAAAAAGCTTTACCACACTCATTTCCTTCATAAGGTTTCAATCTAGTGTGTGTTTTTTCATGCCTGTGAAGATGACTGTTACATGCAAAGTCTTTAACACATTGAGTATATACAGAACTTTTCTCTCCAGTTTGACTTTTTTCATGCCTACAATAATAATGGTACATGTGAAAGCATTACTACATTGTTGAATATTTTTATCTGTATAAATTAATTTTACATCTTAGTCATATTTTAAAGAGGAATTATATGTTAAGGTTTTAGCACTATGTTTATAATCTTGCTTTTTCCCTTCATCAAAGCTTGCTTTTCATCTTTGAAGATAACTGATAATAGCCTTTATAACATGGTTCACATTTACAGAATCTTTTTTTCTGCATGAGAAATTTCATGTATTTGAAGAGAACTTAAAAATCTCAGAGCTTTACCACTCTTATTGCATTTATAAACTTTCCTATACTGTGAGTGAAATTACATTTGTTAAGTGTACTAGGACAAACAGAAGATTTTACCCAGTCCGAGTACTCATGGTACTTTTCTGAAATGTGAGCTTGTTGATATACTAACAATGAGGCTAGAAAACCAATTACTTGTATACTTGTACATCAAATTCAACACGTATACTCAACATGGTACATGCTACATATCTTCTGTTTGTTCTGAGAGAGAGGTATGTTATATCGTTTCACATCCCTATGCTCATGTAGCTTGTATCCAGAGTAACATATGATATACCTAGTAATAAGAATAACAAATATAAGGCTTCCACATTGAGTTCACAGTTTGACTTTCTGTTCTCATACACTTGTGGTATCTGGATTAAGGCCTCTCTACAATAGCTGCCCCTTGATTCATGACTCTAACTGCCCCCCTCACTAAAATTAACACAGTCACAAGTATATGTGTTAAACTACCCTTTCTATGGACTATTAGTGTAATACAGAGGCTTACAGATATACTTATCATTAATATGAGTAATATTAAATAAATTGACAATTTTACAGAATAGCTCTCATAATATCATGATTCAAATGGTAATATAGGTTAAGACATGGCTTCCTTGACTTCTTTCTTGAAAGAACGACTTGCAAATGCAGTTCACCTATCTGAAATTAAGGTATATGATTTTGTGAGAAATTAACAATCATCAATTCATAATAATAATTTGCACTGTTCTTTTTGTATAAAACATTTGGATACATTACAAATTCTTCATAGGTACATTTGTATCACCTTATACATGAAAATTACCTTTCATGTCTTCTAGAACTTTGACAATGTTCATCAATATTATGGTCCTCCCAACTGTATCCTAAAATATATTACCAGAAAAAAATGTTCATTATATATTAAAAATTGTAAAAAATTAAGTTACAATTTGAAGCAAACCTTACAAAATCTTGATTTATTTACCCATTCTTCTTTTTCAATCATATTACAAAAGAGCATCATTAAAAAATGAACACTTGTCCCCTTATTTGAAACATGAAAGATAATTCAGTCTTACCTATAGTAGTGAGGTTTCTGTAGGTCTCCAGCATTACATCTTTGTAGAGACTCTTCTGTGAAGGATCCAGTAAAGTCCACTCTTCCCAAGTGAAGTTGATATGCACGTCATCATAGGTCACTGTATTCTAAAATATCCCGTACATGTGTACAACAGAAAGCATGATTTTGACAACATTATAAATGTATACTTCTTTGACAGTATAGTCATAGAATTCTGGTGCTCCCCATACTTATTCCATGACATAGACATCATAATTTAATCAACAAGTCACTTTAGAAGCAAACTGAATAGGAGATTCACCTCGGTCATTTCTGAACCCTTTGAATGGGATAGCACCTTGCAAGAGAAATGCCTACTAACCAACAATGAAAGATGCATAAACATATCAACAGTACAGAGTATAGATAAGAGAAATTGTATGAATGAATAATTCCTAACTACAAAAAAGAAAAATAAGATAAAAAAGCCAGATTATTGAATCATGCCTCTAATCCTTGTCCTCAGAAGGCAGAGGCATGTATATCTATCTGCCTCTGAGTTCAATACCAGCCTAATCCATGGAATCACTTCTAGGACAGCCAGAAATACATATTAAATACCTTTTTCACATGAAAAATATCAATCAAACATAAAAGATAGAAATAACTCATAGGTTTTTGATGAAGTTTCTACAAAGAGTTATGCATTAACTTCAACTCTTTATTCATCTACCAGAAACCCAAAGTGCCCCAATCTAAACTGCAACATAAACCAGATTTTACTATGAGGCACTGTGTGTTTAAAAAGTTATAAATGGACAAATGAAAACAATAGTAATTAATATGCTGATTACAAATAATCAACACAGAGCAGGAAAGATGGATCAATAGTAAATAGTCCTCCTGGTCTTGCATACAGGTGGGCTCAAGGACTTACATGTGGGATCATAACTATCCATTGTTCCAAGTTTAGGGTTTCTAACACTATCTTTTGATTATTGTAAAGACCAGGTACTCACATGGTGTATATCCATGCATACAAGTAAAATACTTAGAGGTAGGCAGAGTAGACAGAACTGAATTCTGGAATGAAGAAAGCAGAGTCAGAGAGAATCGCCACGGAGCTGTTAATATCAGACACACTGCATCTTTCCTGGTAAGCCACAACCTCATGGTGATAAACAGATTGCTAGAAGTGGGTTAAATCAAGATGTGAGAGTTAGCTAATAAGAGGATAGAGATAATGGGCCAGGCAGTGTTTAAATTAATACAGTTTCTGTGTGATTATTTCGGGTGTAAACTAGCTGGGACGACAAGCAATCCCATCTTTTTCACCAAGGAGGGAACAAAGGGCCACCCTCCTCCTACTACAAAAATATTCTTTTTAAAAAATAAAAATTCAAAACAAACAAAACAGGCAGGAAGAAGGTTATGTACCTGTAATCCAATGACTCATAACGCACAGGTAGTATTAATGTCATGAATACATGCCATTCTGGGAAACATAATGAAACCCTCTGTCAAATTTTAAAATTCAAGATATGGGTATAACTCAGTACAACACCATATGCTCGATAGGAACAAAACCATTATACAACAATATAAAAACAAAAAGCCAGGAATGTTGGACCACCTTTAATCCCAGCACTTGGGAGTCAGAATTAAAGGATCTCTGAGTTTGAACCCAAGCTGGTATATAGAACTACTCCAGGATAGCTAGGGCTACACAGACAAACCTTGAATTCAAAACTAAACAAACAAAAATGAAAATTGTAGACTACCAAATTGCCTTGGCACTGAATAGCAGTTAATTCTATTGAATCTCACGTGATTTAGTGACAGAGTTTATGATGGTGGGGAAGTTATGACAGCAAAAGAAGAAAGCTGACCAATTAGTTTCAACCACAACACAGCAGGCACAAAGAACAGGAAATGGGTTGAGGCTATAGAAACTCATATCACATGTCCAATGAGGAAATTCATCCAGAAAGGCTCTTCCTACTACTGATTTCACAAACAATCAAATGAAATTTGCCAAGAAGAGGCACATGCTCAAATCCATCTTTCTATCTGGGAGTTTTTTATTCAACCTCTTACATTCTGACTCAGATCACTATAGGCTCATGGTCACCAATGAAGAAAAAGGATTTAGTCACTTCAATGATACTCATAATCTGCAACAGGCCCTATACTGTTGAAATGTTCAAAGTCTCTTCTGACACTCAAGACAATCTCTTGACAGTGACATCTTGTAAAATCAGAAAACAAGTTACATCTTTTCAACATACAATGGTACAGAATACCATTCACACTCCAAAATAGAGAAATGGAGACATAGTGAGGGAAGATTGAAACAACGCGACTGAAGCATAGCAGGACAAACATCAAATCCTGTAGCTCTGTCTCAGATGCACAGGGCTTCAGTTTCAAAGGGCAAAGATGGCCTTATCTCTGCATCTTCTCATACATCCCTCTCTTTGGTTACTTCCACTCCCTATATTTAGTTAGTTCTCCATAGATGTCTTATAGTTTAGGCATATCAATATCTTGTGATATCAAAATGCAACCTAGGCTGTATCAAAATACAACCCTTGCTGTTGTGGAATATTATTGTAAGATGTGTCATATTTGTTTATATTGTGAAACATTTGTTCCAATGATGCAAAGATGTGTTGCATTCTTTTATGTTGCATTTGTTTAATTCTGTGAAGGTGTGATACTTAGTGGGTCTAAAATACCTGATTTGCCTAATAATAAGCTGACTAGTCAATAGTTTGACAGGGAAGAATAGAAAGGGCTCATAGGCAGAGAGAATAAATGGTAGGAGAAATCCTGGGGGGAAAAGGAAGGATAAAAAAGGAGAGGAAATCAGGAGCCAGCAACCCAGCTATACAGCAAGCAACAGAGTAAGAAGAAAGGTATACAGAATAAAGATAAAAGTCCAGAGGCAAAAGGTAGATGGAACAATTAGTTAAGAAAAGCTGGGTAGAAACAAGAAAAGCTAAGGTCAGGAATATCTAAGAATTAATAAGCCCCAGTGTGTGTCATTTATTTGAGAGCTGGGTGGCAGGTCCAAAAAAGAGTAAAAACAAGAGGTTTTATCCTCACAGCTTCATGAAGTGAACTCTCCCAGTCTCTTTGCCGGAAGCAAGGACCTGTATTTTGAGATCTGCATTTTGTTTACAGCCATCTTAAGCTCACAAATTAAGAAAAATATTTACCTCTATCCCCTCTGCAGGGTCTAGGAAAACAATTGGTGTCTTATCTCCTAGCAGATACCTGAAGGAACTAGGCTCTGGAACTCATTAGCATTTTCCTTTGTTAGTCAACAATCACAGACCCTCAGTATTTACTTATCAGCTGGGCATGTTTCTGGACCTGAATTCCAAGAGACCTGAGCTTCCTGACACACTTCCCTTCCCCCTGACACCTCCCCCCTCTTTGCCTGTTTGTTATATAACAGCTTCTGAGGAAATAAATAAACTAGACGGCTTGATCAGAAATCCTGTTTTACCACCATTTCTCGTGTCTCTTGTCTCCTTTCAATCCTCTCCACTAGCTTTATCAGGGACCCCCGTTCATATCCCGCGGGTCGGGATATCTCTTCACTGAGTTTCTGACTCTGTCAAACATGGATGCCTGCAACAATGCTGAACAGTAACCACAAACTAAGAACCTATTACCTTAAATTGTGATTCTTTCTTGTTTCCAGGACCAGTACATGATGAGTGATCCTGAAAAGTTTAACTTCTTAATTGGGACAGACACTAACACACTTGGACCACATGTGTAGCAGATTTTGGATGAAGTTGCTTCCTGGAACTAGAAATCACTTTGCTTACCCCTTCCATAAGTTGAATGTTTATGTGAATGGAGTCTTACCCTTAGAGCACCTTGCTAGGCTTCCATTCCATAGCAAGGATCTTCTCTACAATGGTGATAAAATCCTTGAAAATCCCTGCCTGTTTCAGTAATTGACTGCCATAAGAAACTGCCTTTTTTATTTTCATTTATTTCTGCCCCACTTGGTTTTTTTTTTTTTCACCTTTGGCTTGAATCAGTAGTAACCATCCACCACATTCAATATTCCATTTCAGGACTTAGCTCATTATGTTTTTTAGTTCTGCTTTACTAAATTTCCAGGTCACAGGCAGAAAAAGATTTTGGAGTCAAAATATCACACAAATGACCTCTAGCTTAATCAGTTTCAATTGAAATTCGAAGATCTCAATCTCCACTTTCTGTCATTTCTTTTAACATTTCCATCTTTCTGATTCTACAAGAACAGCTGATTTAGTTCTGTGTACTATTTTCTATGTTTTTTTTTTTTGCCACCTAAAGTCTTGATATCTTCTATACTCTTTTAAGAGACATCATTCCCAGGTTCTGCCTAGCAACAATATTACTTTTGGTTTTCCATTTTTTGTTCTAACTTGCATTTATGTTTCTCTAATTAAGTCCTCTAACCAAAAGCAGCTCAGGCAATAAGTGGGGGTAATTTGGCTTCATCATTTTGGGAGCTTAGGATAGAGAAAATAAAGCTAATAGTTGAAGGCAAAAATACATGGACAAAGATTGTTTCAAGTCTTTCTCTCTTGCCTAGTCACTGATTGGTGCCTTTTGTATCCCAAGCCCACTTTCTTAGGGATATTGCCACCCTCAGTGGAGGAGCCTTCCCACACCAATCATCAATCAACACAATCTCTCCCAGATATAGCAGTTTATGGCTTTTATGAACAATGCCACTATGAACACAGTTGAGCAAATGAAATGTCCTTGTGGTAGTATCTTTTGGGTATATGTCCAAGAGTGATATAGGTGGGTCGTGAGGTAGATTCACTCCCAATTTCCTGAGGACTGCATGTTGATTTCCACATTGGCTGTAAAAGTTTGCACTTGCAACAGCAATGAATTCCCTCACTATATGTCCTTGCCAGCATTAGCTGTCACTTGTGTTATGGATCTTAACAATTCTAAGAGCTGAAAGACGGAATCCCAAAGTAGTCTTGATATTCATCTCTCTGATGGCTAAGGATGTTGAACATGTCTTCAGGTGTTTCTCAGTCACTTTAGATTCCTTGACTGGGAATTCTATTTAGAGGTGTACCCCATTATAATTGGATTATTTGGTTTGTTGTTTAGTTTCTTGAGTTCTTTAATATCCTAGGTGATAAAACACAGAATCACTTAGATAAACATGGTATGTATTCACTTATAGGTGGATATTACCAGTTAAGAAAAGTATAATCACAGTACTCACAGTCTATCACAGTACAATCCATAGACACAGAAAAGCTAAGTAACAAGAACAGCTCTAGGGGACATGCATGGATCTCCCTGGTAAGCAGAAATCCTGTGGGTGTACTGGAGGCAGATGGGGATGGGTACAGGGAGGATCAAGTGAGTGAAGAAGGGACAGGTGGGGAGAAGACAGGAAGAGATGACTGGAATAAGGGAGCTTTTAACAGGGGATGTGACAACAGTGTAGTGAAACTTTCTGGAGACTATAAAGGTAACCATAGTGAGGACTCCTAGTACTCAAGAATATGGAGGCTTGTTGCGGGATGTCCTCCCACTCCTCCAGCCTATCACCGCTGAGATACCAGCCCATTGAGGCGTGGTCTCTCTCCCTTTAAAAAAGCGGCCACTTCCCTCTCCTCTCTCTCTTCACTTCCTGCTCCGCCGGCGACTAGACTCCTTTCCTGTTTGCGTAGAGGGCTGTTGCCTGGGACAGTGATCTGTAAGTTTTTTCCCCTTTAAATAAATACCACCCTATTAATCATAATCCCAAATTGGTGTGGCATTGTTTCTGACTTACGCCTTCATTTTGGCACCCAACGTTTGGTTTCAGAACCTCTCATTTCCCTGCTCGCAGCCGCGAGTTCGGCTTGGTGGCCACAAGTTCGGCTTGGCAGCCGTGAGTTCGGCTTGGTGGCCGCGAGTTCGGCTTGGCGGGCGCTAGTTTGGCTTGGCGGGAGCCCTCCCTTCCTCAGCCACCGCCTGTGCCTTGCAGCGGCAGCCTTGGACTCCCCACGTGGATTTAAACTCCACAGGCCCGCGTAGTCTCTGCCCGCGTGGTTTGC